ATGGGGAGGCGAGGAGAGGGGAGGGAAGGAACAAGCTGAGCTGGTGATAAGCACCTCACATCCAGTGGAGAACCCACAAGGCATGAGGCTGTCATAAATCCAGAAATGGCAAATTATTTTTGCCAATTGAAAAATCAGTCATCACTACCAACAGAGCTATGAAAACAGTTTTAAAAAAGTCGTATTAGGGGCCGGTCGTGGTGGCTCACGCCTGTAATCCCAGCACTTTGGGAGACTGAGGCGGGTGGATCACGAGGTCAGGAGATCGAGACCATCCTGGCTAACACAGTGAAACCCCGTCTCTACTAAAAATACAAAAAATTAGCTAGGCGTGGCGGTGGGTGCCTATAGTCCCAGCTACTCAGGAGGCTGAGGCAAAAGAATCACTGGAACCCAGGAGGTAGAGGTTGCAGTGAGCCGCCGAGATCACGCCACTGCACTCCAGCCTGGGCAACAGAGCTAGACTTCGTCTCAAAATCGTATTAGGAAGTAATATTTACAAAAAAAAAAAAAAAAAAGAAAAAAATCACCATGGAAGAAAAGAAAAGCCACTTTTACATAATCATGAATAAGATTTCATCATCAAGTGACCAAACTCTTCCTGAGACACCTTCCCATGTTTAGAGACTAAAAGATGTGGCCAGGCACGGCAGCTCACACCTGTAATCCCAGCACTTTGGGAGGGCGATGCAGGTGGATCACTTGAGGCCAGGAATTCGAGATGAGCCTCGTCAACATGGTGAAATCCTGTCTCTACTAAAAATACAAAAAATTGAGCTGGGCATAATCTCAATTTCCTTCATATTTGTTAAAGAAAAATTAAGTGAACGAATTAATCAAGGAAATTAAGTGTCTTTTTTTTTGAGATAGGGTCTTGCTCTGTTGCCCAGGCTGGAGTGAAGTGGCATGATCTCAGCTCACTGCAGCCTCCAACTCCCAGCCTCCCACTCCCAAGCGATCCTCCTGCCTCAGACTCCGGAGTAGCTGGGAGTACAGGCACACGCCATCATGCCTGGCTAATTTTTGTATTTTTTGCAGAAATGGGGTTTCACCATGTTGCCCAGGATGGTCTCAAACTCCTGAGCTCAAGTGATCCTCCTGCCTTGACCTCCCAAAGTGCTGGGATTACAGGCCTGAGCCGCCAGTGCCCAGCTTTAAGTGTCTTTTTAAATTTGAAGTTGTTTTTTTCCCCACGAATAAACAT